GGAATGTGTTTATAAACTGACCTGCCCTCCCTGTTTCCTGGCCTGGTGCTACAGGTACTACATCACAGTGTGTGGACTGTGTACAGGCTGAAGTGGTTTGAGCCTTGGGCAAAACACACGTCAGAAGTAACAACCTGCAGGAGAATTGCATGATCCAGATCTCGTGTCCCCTGTAAGAACCTGCACTGAAGTGCGTTTGTTTCCCCTCCAGGTACCCTCAGTGTCTGCACATGTTGGAGCTGCTCCAATACGAACACTTCCGCAAGGAGCTGGTGAATGCTCAGTGTGCCAAGTTCATTGACGAGCAGCAGATCCTGCACTGGCAGCACTACTCGCGCAAGAGGATGAGGCTGCAGCAGGCCCTGGCCGAGCAGCAGCAGCAGAACAGCAGCTCTGTGAAATGAAAGGGAGTATGAGGTGTGCCTGTGTCACTGAGGTATTCACAGGGAGGAACTGGTGCAGGTTTGGCTCTGGACAAGCATCCCTTTGACTTGAGGTTATCAAGTGACCACGTTGGTTTTGTTTCATCAGCTCTTAGGCTAATAAACACGTACTGCAATTTACCTTGTAGCATGGACGATTTTGTAAGAGCTTTACTTACCACAGTTATGGATTCTCTTGATTTTGAAAACCAAACAGATTTGTTACTTACTATGTATGTGCAAAAGGTTTGGCTTTGAAGGCTGTTCCAGGCCATTTCCCTGGAGAATGATGATATGTCTCAAAGTATGACTGAGAACTCCCTATATGCTGCTCCTTACAGCTGCAGGATAAGCAAAGGTGAAGTGATGATAATGTACAAAATCTAAATGGGGTTTTGCCTTGAATCCAGGCTGTGTTACTCCTTGTCATATCTGTTTCCCTGGCAGTCATTGTTGCTGGGGTCTTGGAGAGTTTCCCTGACAGCATGTTGTACGGATAGACGTCACAGTGTGTTGGAGAATGGCTAAGAGTGCGGGGACATAATCTTGGGAATGCACCTGGGGAAGGCTAAAAAGAGCAAGGACACAGTCCCCTGGGAACGCACCTGGGAATGCAGTGTGTACAAGCAAGGCTCTGGAGATAGTAACTTATATATAGATAGGGAGTAACTCAGCTGGGCAGATGGCAGGGGTAAGTCGTCCTTGAGGGTGAGACAAAAAAGTTCGAGCCAAACAGCTAGGAATGCACCCAAGCCTGAGAAAGCAAGAGATAATCCTCACAGCTGCAGCTGCAAGTAGGGAGAGTACCTGAATGCTATCTTTAGAGCTTAGCCAATTATAAATGATTGATAGTTATATGCCTGTCCTGTATTGTATAAAACGGAGCCTGTTGGACAATAAAGTGGAGCTTGCTTTATCACCCACACGGAGTCGGCCGCTTGCTTCCCCGTGCGGAACTTCACCTTTCCCAACAGCAGTGTACAAGGTGAGGACTGGGGAGTTGGGCAGAGATAGGTGCTGACAAACTCTGCAGGTACGGAAGGAAACAGGCTGTAGCTGTCTCTGCTCTGTGAATCTTGGCTTCTGCCCATGCAACAGTGGCATGGAGCCTCTTGACAGTCTGTGTAGTGAGAGCAATGCGTGCAGGGAAATGTGTGTCAGTAATGTGTGTCAGTGCTTGGAGTGTTGGAGAAGCACTTGCCATGTATTCCTGCACAGTTTTTATTGTAAGGATACAGCTCTTGGCAGCTGCCGGGGTTTTAATTTTCCTATCTTGGATCCTATTTGTGGTGTATTCACATTGTATTTCCTGTCCTTGGCGGAGCAGGTGCTCCCAACTGTTAACCATTAACATCTGATCAGTGACACTAGGACTGTCAGCCTTCAGCTTATCACACCTGGGCTGAACAGATAAGCCATTAAACATCCTTGGCACTGAAAATTTAATCTTAGCTATGTGTTCAGATTCAGGAGGAATAGGGAGGTTTTCCTGTTTCTCTCCCCCTGCCCCACTCACTGCAACAAGCATAAGTTAGCAGTTACACTTCAGTAAGTGCAGGGTGCCCTGTTTCAACACGAGCTCTGCTGCTTTGAAAAGAGGCTGTTCACAAACTCGTTTATTTGATCAAGAAACAAAAGACGGTTTTTCATTGGAAGATTTTAGTGTAACATTTGGACCCAGAATTTAATTACACTTATCTTGACTAGTCTAAAGCAATTAACCGTGAAAGTTTTAACAAAGGATGCCTTGAAAGGACACTGGAGTATTTGAGATTAGCATCTTCCTCAGTGATTGACTAGTGAAGGACTTAGTCTTCAGTGAACAACATCCGCACAAGCTCTGCTTTAAAACACTCTTCCTCAACCAGCTTCTGCGGCTGAAACAAAAGTTGAGAGGCTTCAGGGGCAATTCAAAGACCTGTTCTCGACCTTGTGTACACACCTACACTAACCATGGCCAGCAACTGTTGTCCTGGGAGGAGGGTAGCAGGTGGAGCACATGAGGTAAGAATAACTGAAACATTCTTGAGGGTTTTCCGGCCTCGGGAAAGGCGTTTCCAAGAAAGTAGCTCCAATTTAAATACCACGCACAAGTTAAAACTTGAGCTGCAGTCTAAGGCCAGAGCACTGCACACACCTCGTTTCGCTCCCATGGTTCAGCCTTTGGGCTTTTCAAAAGCTGAGGAGCTGCAGGCCGGGAAGGTTAACAATATGTAGCTAAGAACTTTTTCAACCCCTCAAGCTCTACATGCCACAGGTACATGCTCCTTTTACTGCATGTTTGTTATAGACAACATTACACAGAAAGCAGAGTGGTTCCCTCCTGAGGATCTCTCAGCCAGGAGCAGTGGAGGGGTGGGAGCAGAACTGTTCCACATGCTCTGCTCTCCTTGAACACAAGAGGGTTCTCAGAAAACACTTGACTAATGCATTTACAGCCCTGAGCTCCTGCCAAGCCCCCCATGGATCCAGGGGATGCAACAAATCACTCACTGTTCCGTATTTAAGTAGTGTAGGCACTGCCGTTAGCTTCAGATTCCTCCTGAATTCATTGTTGGGATCCTTCCAGCTGTTCAGAAAGAAAGGGGTAAGCACAGCTTGTAGAGGGACAGTTTGAAGTTAGAATTCCTTCAAAGGAAGGATTCAAAGGCCTTTGCCTCATGCCTCCCCAACTCACTTCCCAGAACATGCAGATAATTCACATTAGGGATGCTGTAGACCTCAAAACAGTCATTGATTTCTTACAGAAAAGGATGGTTCATTAATTTTTTTTTCAACAAGTTAGTTAACCTCCAGTCCACTACCAGCAAAGTTATCTCAATTATTTGCATTCAAAGTTACTTACTAGGCTCTGTCTCCTACTAGGCAGTAGATGAAAACCGACTCATCAGGCATGTTATGAAGTTCCTTCCTCACAACGGGTTCAGCTAGAGAATAATTTTTGAAATCTGTTAGTAAATATTGTGCTGTGCTACAGAATCACAAGGATTCACCTCGATCAGCAATGCTGCTAATTAATCCTGTGTTTGCTTCAGGCAGAGATCTTTTTAAGCTTCGCCGAATTAATTACATGCTCGGCATTGAAGGGACTTGACTTGGAGCGAAGCCAATTTCTGCCGTTAACAAGTAGGAGGAACAATCGCTGCAGCAGCACAGCACAGCGGGAGCGGCGGTTCGCGCTGCATTCACCGAGCACCCGACTCACATCTGCTCGGCTGCTGTGCCAGCGTCGCGGGCACGGCCCGTCCGTTCCGCCCGCTCGCTGTGGGTGACCCCGC